GAGCAGATCGAGGTGGACGGCGAGCTGCTGCGCAACAGGGACGTGGTGCGGTGCGTGAGACGTCGCGACGAGGACGGACGCGCGTGGTTCCGGGTCATGTGCCGCGAGGGCTATGTGATTGCGAAGCTGGGGCTGTCGATCTTCACGGCAGAGTACCGAGGCGTGCAGATGCAGGCGCAGCAGATACCGGTGCGATCGGCTCGGTACGGGCCGGTCTTCTCCAAGCAGGGCTCGAGTGCGTCGTATGTGTGGCTGCATGCTGAGAAGCTTAAGGGCGACAACATCGCGTATGTGGGTGTGACGCGCTGCGAGGGGTCGCCGTACGATCAGCGGCTCAAGATCTCCGGCATGTTCAAGGCGTGCCTGCCGCCGCGTGTCAAGCCGAACGGCGACTTGGACTGGAGTGGGTGCTGGGTGCACGGCGACGAGGCACTGCGGATCAAGTGGACGGCTTGCCCAAAGTCGGTAGTGTTCCAGCAGATTGTCTACCAGAACGTGCCGTCGGAGCTGTACCAGCGCGCGCTGCAGAGCATTCCGCGGACGGCGGCGTGGGCGGCGACGCTCGAGAAGCTGCTCAATCAATGCCGACTGCACTCCAAGTGCTCCAAGTGCTCTCTCAGAGCACACTGGCACGACAAGGGCGCGGACTGGCGCGGACTGGCACACTCACAACAAGAAGAAGTCTCAATTGCTTTGAAGTGCTCACCGCAGACTGTGTTAAAATCCCTGTGTGGTGGCGGCGTGCCGTTCTTGTCGACAGAAGAAGTCTGCGAATCCTCTCAACCGCAGACTGTGTCTTGTGAGCCTGTTTGTGTCTGTGTGTCGCTCGTGCGTGTCGTCATCATCTGTCCACGTCCACCCATACCGCGTTGGTGTCCAGTCCGAGCCTGGCTGTTCTTCACCTTCCTTCCTACCTAGTACCTCTCTCCCTACCTACCTAGACCTAATACGGACTAGCAGAAAGCACATGCGCGGCCGGGGCCCTCCTTCGGGTCGTCTGTTTTCTTTCTTCTTTTCGTCGAGGCGGACGTCAGCAACTTCTCTTTACGCACAGGGGGTTGTATCAGAAGGGGGGGGGGGGGGGGCTAGGGGGGGGTGAGGGGTGAGGCAAGGCGCGGCCCAAATCTGCTCGTCTCACAGAGGGTACCCTCTGTGCCAAGAGAGGCCATCTACGAGCGGCTCAGAGGGTGCCTGGGCCGACCCTCTGAAGGCCTGTGCCGCCAAGCCAGCCTCTCTCGGCGCAGCCTCTGAGGCTACGGGGACCCTCTGAGACGCCAAGGCAAGCCGCCCGCGAGGCCGCTCCTCAGAGGGGTTTTTCAGCGGTATTTCAAAAGTCTGTCGTGATCCCCCACCAAGGTCCAAGCAGAGAGACCCCCCCCCAGTTTCCATTTTTCGGATACCTCAAGTTCGAGTTCACGCGCGACGCGGACGCGGTGGCGCCTCATGGCCAAGCTGGAGCAGGGGACGGACGTGGAGATCACTACCTCCTCCTCGGGCGGCCGCTCCAAGCACATCCTCAAGTTGACGGGTCGGCGCCGCGGGCCGCGCGAAGCTGTCGCGCAGGGCTCGGCGCGGGCGCTGTGAGCCTGCAGCAGCCTGCAGCAGCAGTCAGTAAGCGTGTGTGGTGCCGGGCGCTCGAGCATAGCGTAGCGCCTTGGTCATGCTCGCTGCTTAAAGTCATGCTACCACCCCTCCCGCCCTCACTGGCCAGCGCCATTCGTGGAGGGCTAGGCAGCTCCGGCCTCCGCCCGGGGCTCTCGCCTCTGCCGTGAGGGGGCAACCCTCTGTCACTGTCTGAGGTCAAAGCCCTCGGCTGTGCCGCGCCAAGACAGACCCTCGGCCAGGGACCCTCTGAGGCCAAAATCAGCCAAGAGAGGCCACAGAGGCGGCACAGAGTCAGACTCAAACCCTCTGTGCCGCCAAGCCTGGGGTCCGACCCGTCCTCGGAGGGGGGTCTGAGGCCTCAGAGAGTGAACAACGACCCCCTAGTCTTTACGCCCCTGGCCGATTTGCGTGCAGCCGAGTTGGCGAACCAAGCGGCTGAAAAAGCCCTTCTTCTTCTCCCTTTTTGTCTTTTGGGCCGGCACCAAGTGTTCACGGGAAGCGGGACATCATCATCAAGTGTTCCGGCGCCGGGAAGCTCTCTCAAAGTGCTGGGGACCCTCTCTCTCCCTTCAGATAAGCCAAGCATGGAGGCCATGAAGCTCCCGTACGACTGCCGGGGCATGCCGGCTTACGAGACCGAGGTGGACGGCTGGACGGTCGGTCCCGTCCTCTCCAAGCTGCACATGTCCGACGAGGGGCTGTATGACCGAATGCTCTCCACAGCCCGCGGCTCCCCGACGGCTGCAATCGTGGTTGACGGCGAGGGCCGCATCATCGCACTGAATGAGGCGTGGACGGCGCTTTGCGGCTACAGCCCAAACGAGGCGCTCCACCAGAGCCCCAAGATCCTGCAGGGAGACGCGACCGACGCGGCCAAGGCGCGGCGCTTCTCCGACGAGGTCCGCGAGTGTGGCGCCGCCCGAACGATCCTCGCCAACTACTCCAAGGGCGGCGATCCGTTTGCCCACCAGCTGCGCAGCACAAAGGTGTGCAGCCGGCAGGGGGACTCCACGTACTACTTCACAGAGTCCGAGGCGGTGGCGGACAAGGCGATCGAGCGGGCGGTGCTCGACGGGGAAGTGTATCGGTGTGCGCTCCTCTTAGACGTTCAGACGCGCCTCTCAGACACGCCCCCACCGCCCGGCCCCACTTTGTTTCAGGCTGAGCGGCGAGTCGGACGCCTTCGCCGCGCTCGGAGTCATTACCCTCACAGCCTGCCTCCTCGGCCTCGCCCGCCTCGCCTCGCTGGCGGACGGCGCCTCGATCGAGATTTTCGCCACGCTCGGCGCCACCATCGTCCTCGGTGCGGGCGGCGCCCTCCTGCTGGGCGCGCACGAGGCGGCCAGCATCGCGCTGCGCCAGGCGGGCCGCGTGTACGTCGTGGACGGGTACGACTAGCGAGGCCGCGCAGGCGCGCGCTTGAGGGTGGGCCTCCCCCGTGCCGCGTCCTCATCGGTTGTCCGTGCCGCTGGGATGGCGAGGGATAGATGATTGTTTGTAGGTGTGTTTAAAGAAGAGACACATGCCACGCAAGGAGGAAAGCGGCGAGTCGCACGCTCGCACCTAGCAATCCAGCAATGCTGCAACATTACTTTTTGCTCCGGGCACATCGCCAGCGGCACGGACAACCGATGAACATGCAACATCGGCCTCGCCATTAGACTCCACGTTCCCAAGGACGCACGACGCAAAGCGAAAGGAAGTCAGACCCGACCACCGAAGCAATGGGTGCCTGCAGCTCCAAGTCGACCAACAACATCGCCGACCCGGTGATGCAGCCGGAGCAGATCAGCACTCGCGCCGACGCCACCACCGTCGACACCACGCCCGACGCCGTGCCCGCCGAGACGTACGCCGCCGACGCGGCGGCCGCACCCTCGGCCATGACGCCCGAGGCAGAGGAGCCGCCTGCAGAGGATCCCAAGGACGAGGTCGCGGCCGAGGAGATTGCAGCTGAGGAGGGAACTGCCGAGGCGGCCGACGAGATGCCTCCGCCGACCGAGCCGGTCAAGTCGTCCTCCATCCTGGGCCAGGTGGTCGACTACCTCTCGGGCCGCAAGTCTGAGCCTGCTGTCGAGGAGACCGAGGCGGTCGAGACGGCGGAGGCCGACGCGCCTGCGGCGGAGACGGAGCAGCCGGTCGCACGTGCGCTGATTGAGGCGGTCGATGCGGTCGCCGAGAGGGACGACGCCGAGCAAGAGGAGGCTCGCGTCGAGTGGCGGGCATACGCCCTGTCGGCGGGAGAGGCGGGCCTCGCCCGCGAGATGAGCGTCACGCCAGAGGAGCTTGCTGAGGTTGAGGCACGGCTCGCCTACAGCCACGCGGCGGCGGCCGAGGCGGCCGAGGCCGAGGCCGCGGCTCCGGAGCCTGCGGCCGAGGCTGCGCCTGAGGCTGCTCCCGAGGCAGCGCCCGAGGCGGCGGTCGAGGCGGCGCCCGCGGTCGCTCCCGAGGAGGAGGAGGAGGAGCCGCCGACGCTGATCCAGAAGCTGTCCAAGGCCTTCTCGAACCTCCTGCCCGCCCCGCCGAAGTGCATGCCCGCCCGCCCCGCGCTTGACGAGGAGCCGGCCGACGCCCCGGCGTCCGCCGTGCCGGCCGCGGCGCAGTGGGGCACCAAGCGCATCAGCCAGCAACACTGGAAGTAGATAGAACTATGTGTTTGCTGTAGAAATATAATGCCGCGGCACCCGACCCCTACAAGTTCTCTTCTCCGCACAGAGCGACGGTGTCCTCGATGAGCGCTCACAGACACGAGACACACACCAGTAGTCAGTACTTTGTGACACACAGCGCGCATCACGTCCGGGGTCCTCCGGTCGAGCTCGCACAGTGGCACTGTTGACCGTCAGTGGAGCCTGGTGGCGTTTTTATCACTCACGATAAAAGTACGGGCCAAGGCTGTCGAGTGCTCCAGAACCCAATCTCATGAAAGGTTTCATGCGCGCGCGGCAGGCGCCGCGCCCGCGGTCAAAGAGAGCACTCTCAGCCCAACCTCGGATCGAGGGATCGGACGTACTGAATGCGCGGTCGGCGTTTTGTCTTTTGAACTGGTCCCCACATCAATTTAAACTTTGGCCGCTTTGTGTCTCTCGAGACCTCGAGAGAAGGCCGCCCGCAGGCGGCCGGGCGCTTCTTCGACAAAAAGGGCCCTCCTGTAACGCCCCCAGCGCGCTCGCGCTCAGTGCTCCAGCTTCGGCCGAAGAACCGCCGCAACCGGTGCGGCCCGTTCCCCGGGCTGTGTGGGCATCTGCCAGCGTCGGTCACCGGCCGATAGGCGCCGCGGGTGAGGCGGCGCGGCCGGCGCTTTGAACGGCATGGGGGGCGAGCAATCGGACGAGGGTCCAATGCGGACTGCAGACCTCGTGCAGCGCTGGCTCAGGGCCGAGCGGGACCCAGAGCTAGAGCCAGAATCCCACCTGGGCCTGGACGCGATTGTGAAGAAGCTCGTCGAGTTTGCAGAGGAGGAGGAGCTCGAGCTCGGCGTGCCGATTGCGGCGGAGGATGTTGAGCGCTGCCTCCAGAGCGAGTACGATCGGAGAGCGAGCGGTGCGCGGCGAGCGCAGCGCACCGATCACGGCGAGCTCGCGCCCAGCACCTTGATCGCGTCGATGGCGTCGTTGTTTGCGGTGGCCGTCATGAGAAGGACGGTGACCTCCGGGAAGAACACCCTCAGCAGGCCAAGGTCGAGGTACTCGGGACGAAACGTGTGGCCGTGGTCCAGGACGCAGTGCACCTCGTCGACGCAAAGATGAGTGTAGCGGCCCCGCTGCGCCCGCGCCTCTGGCGCCGCCTCTGAGCCTGCCACGCGAGCGCGCTCTGAGCCACGCGCGGCAGACTCCAGCACTGCGAGCGCGCTCTCGACGTCGATGCGGCCGAGCTCACCGAGAGCAGTCGAGGCATCGCCACCGTGCAACCACGCTGCAGCGCTCTCCGTCGGCAGCGCAGCGCCGAGAGATGGCGAGAGTGAGAGAGGCTCGAGCGAGAGGGTCTGCGCCGCAGGCAGCGGAGCCGGAGGGACTGCGGTCCCCGCCTCGGAGACGCACGGCATGTCGACGTCTCTCGCCATCCCTGGCACCTCGGAGGCCGCTGGAGCAGGCGGAAACTGCGGCACCTCGGGCAGCAAGCTGGCGCTTCGCAGGAGCGCGTGCAGCCGCAGCGAGAGCATCGCCTTCTCTGGCGAGCAGAGCACGACGAGCGGAGCGGGGCGGCCGGTTGCCTTGAGTGGCATGTTGAGCCACCGAAGCAGCACCGCTTCTTGGCGGCAACCGCTCGCAGAGCGCCTCGGGCTCGCCGCACAGCGTGGCTTTGCGCCGCGCCTGAAAGTCAGGCGGGCGAGTGCCGATGCGCTCGTGAAAGTCAGCCTCGTTTTCACCACCCAGCACGACTGCGGTGGGCCGCATAGTGCCGTCGACGAGCTCTCTCTCCATTCCCGCGGCGTCATTCAGTGCGTCGCACTGCTCTACGGCAAGTGCGATCAGAGGGAGGATGTAGAGAATGAGGCCAGCGTCCGGCTGCATTGCAAGCAAGTGCACGAGGAGGCTCTTGCCGTCACCGGCCGGCCTGATGGCGATCGCATCCTGCCTACTCGCGACTCGGCACGCGACGTCGTACTGCCACGGCTTCAGGTGCGGCCGACCGAGCGCCACGGCGGCCTCGAGCACGAGCGGAGCGCGAGCCGACAGCGCAGCCTTTGTTTCGCCCGCGTCGCGATTGAGTGCGTCGCGGCGATTCTGAATCTGCTCTGCAATGGTGGCCGCCTGCGCCCCGAGGGCTTGCCCGTGGGCCGCATGGTTCCTGGACATCCGGCAGGCCGCTTGCTGCCGACGGGAGACCTCGGCGTGCTGAGCCAGTAGCTGCCGCAGCAACGCATCCCCCATGCCGTTCAAAGCGCCGCCCGCGCCGCCTCACCCGCGGCGCCTATCGGCCGGTGACCGACGCTGGCAGATGCCCACACAGCCCGGGGAACGGGCCGCACCGGTTGCGGCGCTTCTTCGGCCGAAGCTGGAGCACTGAGCGCGAGCGCGCTGAGGGCGTCACAGGAGGGCCCTTTTTGTCGAAGAAGCGCCCGGGCCCTCCCCGAGGGCCCAAGTCAAGAATTGGCTTTCTTTTGGCGGGCAAATTTAAACTAATAAAGGGTGTGGATGCTGGGTTGAACATAATCGAGGGACGCGACCCACTTCGCCACAGACGGTCCCGCGCCTCGCCGCTAAGACGGGTACACGACCGCGGCTTGTGTGCGTGTACCCGTCTTTGTCCGGAGTGAAAAGTCCAACGCGCTCGTCGGTGGCGGTGTCCCTCAACCTGCGCCGCGCTCGGCGAACCTCGACAGCGCTTTCGGTGGCATGCAGCTCTTTGCGACAGAAGCCTGGAGAGCAGCTCCTCTGCTGCTCACACACTCTGCACAGCTGACACAGCCTACTGTGCGGCTGCCACAGCTGTGACAGCGATGGGCTCGCTTTCACTGGCCCTCAGTCACTTGTGCTGCGGCTTGTGTGAGCGACACTGCTCGGCGACTGCCGGCACACTGTGAGACCATGAGAGTGAGGTAAAACCACGCTACCAGCGCTTGGTCACATCGGTCCCGAGGTCAGATCCATCTACTCTGTTGATGACAAGACTTGTCTACCGGCTGGAGCCGAGCAGGAGGGCTTGGCGCACACCCCTTGGTCAACTCACCCTCCACACCCCGTACAGATGCATCTCGTGACTGCGTGACTCGCCAGGGCCAGACTGAAGGCTGAAGGTGATGTGTTCGCCTGTGTTTCCCACACACACCTTGTACAGATGCGGACTACAGCGCGAGAAGAGAGGCAAAGATTAGAGTCACGCAGAGCCGGCCGGGCGCGGGGCCGGCGGCGCCGCACGCAGAGCCAGAGGGGTGTGTCAGAACGTTCCTCCACAAAGAGCCTGTGAACCTTCGTGCGGGCGACTTTTCGAAGCGTGGGCGCATCGTGGGGCCCGCTCGCGCGCCGCCGCACGCGAGATCAGAAGAAGGCCGACGGCCACGAGGGTCGGATAAGGCACGAGACGAGCGAGACGGCCCCGCCGCCAAGCGCGGGGTCAAACCGATTGCGTGGCTAGCGGAGGCGCGGGCAAGTCGAACTCGAGCACCTGGCCCGGCCCGCACCCCTCCGGCACGACAATCTCAAACTCGCCGCCCGAGGGGGTGGCGACGTGCACGGGCGTTCCCGCCGCCGCGCCCGCAGGCAGCGTGATCTGCATGCGCTCGGTGCGTGCAGGAGGCGGCTGATACACCGCCGGCTTCTCTTGGGTGGGCTGGCCGGGGTAGACAGCGGCTCGGCCGGGCGAGCGGCGGTAGCAGAGGCAGCGGCGGAGGCGGCGGCGGCGGCGGCGGCTGTGGCGGCGGCGGCGGCGGTCGCCTCGGGGAGCTGCACGACGATTGCAGCCTCCTATGAGTGACACACGGCCCCCCACAGAGTCGGCACATTCTCGGAGGGGGAGGGCTCTAGCGGCTGGGCGGCGGGCGGGCCCTCGCCTCCTCTGCCGACCCCGTCGCCGGCCTCGCTTGCACCAACGCTGCGTCTGCCGCCTGCGAAACGCCGCTAGCCGACCTGCGAGGCGCCTCTGCCGACCCTTCCTCGGCCGACCTGCGAAACGCCGCTTGCGCCTCTGCCACGTCCTCCTGGTCGAGCTTATCGATCTTGCCCGTGGTGTGAACAACGTCGAGGAAGTGCTGGAAGTTGAGCGAGTCGCCGCCCTCGAGGATGTCCATGAACTCCTTGAAGTCGAGCAGCCGGTCGCTCTTCTTGCTCTTGCGCAGGATCGTGCGCGCCAGCATGAGCGCCTTCTCCTGGTCCAGGCCGGGCACCTGCCGGAGCACGGGGCGCCGATGTGTGGGCAGAGGGCGGGAGGTGCGCGTCGGAGAGATTGTGCGTCGGTGTTGCGTCGGAGAGGTGTGCGTTGGAGGGGCGCGAAGGAGGGCACGGAGGAGGGCGCGAGGGAGGGCACGGAGGAGCGGCAGGGAGCGGCGGAGGCTCGCGCCCTGGCGAAGACCGAGACGATGTCTGCGACGGTGATCATGCCGTTCTGCGACTTGTCCAACTTGTAGTACCAGTCGACTGCGATTGCCGCACGGAGGCCGAGCTGCGCAAATGTCTGCCGCTTTGAGATCCTCTCGGAGCGCTTGCCCTGCAGCACGGTCGAGATGCCGTTGGGGAGCAAGTAGAAGGCGACAGCGTCCATGAGGAGCGAGAGAAGCTGGAAGAAGACGACGGTGGCGATCACCGTCGTGAGGGCGTGGTTCCAGTCGAAGTGGTAGAGCGAGCCTGCGTTGTGAACACACCAAGGTCAGGGCGGGAATACGGGTGTCGTGTGGATACAACGGCGGACGGGATGGAACACGGAGAGTTGTGTTGGGCATCTGGGAGTGCGGGCCCATCGCCACGAACTCGATGACGACGCCCTGCCGGTATCGGATCACCTTTGCCCCTGTCTCGACGCCCTCGGCGCTGACAGACGGCATTTCCGCGAACCAGACCTGAGGACCCATCCCCGCCCACCCGACCTCGGCGCGCACGACCTGCATCTGTGCGTCCACCTGCCGGTTAAGGAGGATCTCGGCGTGCTCGTCGTCGAGGTTGTCGTACCTACAGGGAGGCTCCGAGAAGGCTCCGGGAAGGCTCCTCGGCCACTGTGGTCGTCGCCGCCGAGGGGCTGTCTTGTGCTTGAGCTCGACGTTGAGCCGGAGGCCGGTGATGCGGAACTGAGGGAAGGGGAGGCGGCGGGGAAGTAAACACCTCCGCTCACACAGTGTGGTGGGGCAAGGCGGGGTGGGTGGGTGGGGGGAGGGGGAGGGGTTCTCCCCCGCACACCTGAGGGAAGCCGTCGTCGCCCGGCCTTCTGTCCTGGGTGGCGTCAGTGTTGGTGTCGTCGAGGTCGAGCTCGGCGAGCAGGACGTAGTCGCGGAGACGCATCACGATGGGGTCGCCCGCCTAACCAATGCCCGACTCATTCCTCAATCAGAGTGGTCGCGGAGACGCATCAGGCGATCGCCAGCAGCCTGGAAGGTCCGCTCCGTGCCGTTGGGGTATGTGATCGTGGTCGAGAGGGGGTGCTCGGCGCAGGTCTTGTCTCCCTGCGTGTCGGCGCAGCTCTTGTGGTTGGACACGCCGCTCAGGTCGATGCGGGAGGAGCCGCTGGTGAAGTACGAGTGCTCAAAGGCGACCTGCAGCTCCTCCACACCCTTGACGTAGTACGTCTGGCTCGTGGCGCAGCTGCACTGCCGACCCGCGTTCGTGCGGTCCACAACCGCGCCGCCACAGCTGGCTTCTTTGGCGCGCGTCGCCGCACTCTGGTTGCCGCACTCCCACGAGTACTCGTACGTCTCTATGACGGACGTTGTGAAGGATATCGAGCCAATACCTTTCGTGACGATCTCCTCGGGCTGAAGATTGCGGCACTCGGGCATGATGTACTCATAGTTGGACGAGTAGACGTAGTTGTGATCCGGGCTGGCGCAGTAAGAGTAGTATTCGCTCGAGCGGTTGAGAGTCGGCGCGAAGCCGTAGCGCCCTCCATCCTCCCACGCGTTCACCACGCCAAGCGGCCGCTCGCTAGCCGCCCACGAGTTTGAGGTGATGACGGTGGCGATGAAGGCAACTATAATGCCGGTCTGCAGAATCCGGTTGGTGAGGCCGACTTGCCAGATGTCGACGCGGACGTGGCGCGCGGTGCGGTAGTAGAGGTAGGGCTTGATGCGGTCGAACAGGCTCATCTAGGCAGCAGCTCGGCGGGTGGGCGCTCGGCTGCTCGGCGGGCGGTGGACTGGCGCCGGGACACCAGCAGCCGCTGTTGAAAGAGAATTTTCACCTGTCGCGCGTTCGATCAAAGAATTACTGAAGGTCGACGCTTCGGCCGGCCGGGGCGCGCGCGGGGGCGGCGGGTTTGCGGGTCGTCTGTGGGCACGAGAGTGATGTGTCATGTGTGTGTCCGCCTTGGGCTTGGCCCTTGCGTTTGTCCCATAACATCGACTTGGGCTCGGCAGCTTGTCAACTACCAGCCGAAGCCGGAGTCGGATTCTCTTCTAACATCGAAGGCTAGCTCAAAAAATCTTCTAGTTTTTTCTGGAGAGATCGCAAGACCAAGAGAGAAGAGAGATCGCCAGTGGAGTACAGGAAGTCCACTGCTGGTTTGTTTGCGGACGCGGCTGATCTTGGAGATGAAGCTTTTCCTTCTTTGCAACCTTTCCTTCGCTTAGCGTTAGTTAACCCCCTGCCCAGCGCCTCTCCTTGTCGCGATGCGCTCCCCACTCCCGTTCACCTGTCCCCCTATCCTTCCAAGCAAGACCCTTGCTCTCTTAGGGTACCCCTAGGGTTCTGAGGGCCGGATTTCCACCCCTCTCTTGGATTTTTTAAAGACCTTTTAAGAAATGAGGAGATTTGGGGGCTGAAATTGCCATTTAAGAGATTGCAGGCACGGGGGGTCCCTCTTTTAAGACCGTTTTTAAGAAAATCGGCCTCACCGGCGGCCATGCGTCGGCTGGGTTCCGCGCCATTTTCTCCAATACCGCCGTTATTAGGCACAAAACCGCCTCTGAAGACACATCTCTAAGCCATACTCGCATAGGGGGCGCGTGCTAGCTGACTGTAGCCAGCTTCCCGGCCTCCGGCGTCTACCGGGAGCCTCCCGGACCATCGACCTCGGGAGCTCTCCCGCACCGTTTAAGCGTTTTAAGACACCGTTTAAGGAATATCGGCGGCCCAGCAGCTCTCTTGAATTCTGCCCGGGCAGGTTTTAAGCCGTTTAAGCCGCAGTGCCCCAGGGCCCACCCTTTTAAGCCTAGGGGTACCCTAAGCTTGCTCTGCAAGGCGGGGGACGCTGTCCTTCTCCCATCCCTAGTTTGGCGCGTCCCTTATCTTTCTTTTGGGGCTGCGGGCTGCCCGCGAGCGAGTTCTTTACCAAGTTGCAACCCTTGTTCCGCACTCGGCTGTGAACGCTGCTGGTTGCTGCCGGTTGAGCAGCACCCCGTCCCCATCCAGGTTGTTGGTTGCTACCCCAGGTCCCGCACTATGTAGGTGCCGACTGCTATCTGCTTCAGCAGCGTGCACCTAATACCTCGATCGACGATCCTGGTGTCGGTTGCGCAACCTTTTTGCCGACCTCCGAGCCCAGAGAGCGCGCCGTGTCTGATCCTCGTCGGCATCTGCTTCCGGGCCTGGCGGCCCGCCACAAGGACTTAGGTGAGAAAAGTGCCCGCCGAAACATCGGTTCAAACGACGCTCACTCACAGCGCCAATTTGGCCCCAGCTCTTTGGCTCTCTCGCTCCGCTCGCCGGTGAGTTGGTTGGTTGCTGGCAGCACCCCAGCACCGGGGGGTCCTGAGAGCTGTTGGTTGGTGCTCTGTTCACAGCACAGTGCGGAACAAGGGTTGCAACCTGGTAAAGAATTCTTAAGATACAAGCCTCGCCAGAGAAGCAGGCGCCGACCGAGAGGAGCGCGGCGCGCCCGACTTCGGACATGCAGAGCACCTCACGCATTGCGAGCGGGAGTAACCCGCCAAGGAGTGCGAGCACAAAGAGAGCGAAGGCCGCGACGAGGTGGTTCATGTACATTCGGGACCTGCACTGTGTTGAACTTGCGTGAGGACGCACGATGCCCATGCACTCGAAATGGGACATGGCGTGGCGAGTGCATGGCCAGCCATCTTCAACGACCCGGCGAGTCTGCGGAGGAAGGTAGCAGTCGATCCAGCGCTTCGGTCAATGGTGACACCATGGAATGGCCATAGAGATCACTGCGTGGAAGCGGGAGCCGCGTCTCCACGTCCTCCAGACGCCGCTACCTCGCTGCTCCAGACGCCTCTCCCTCGGTGTGGCCTCGTCGCATTTTACCACCTCCCAAAGGCCTCCGGGTCCTCGCTGGAGTGCTTTCTCGGTGCGCAGCCAGAGTTCGCGTGCTGCCTACGTGGGACATGCGGCTACTGCCGGACGTGGAAGAAGCGCAGCCCCAACGATTGGCCGCACTGGTGTCAGCACCGTGGATTGATACCAGAGCAGATGTGGAAGCACTTTGAGCGGGTAAATAATCGGTCCGACAAAAAGGGACCCGCAACTTTCTTGTTGCCAGACGACCTCTTGCGATGGGACAATGCGATGTTGTATCGGCTCAACTTCCGGGTGACTGTCTCCTTCCACAGCGGCCCCGTGGGCGATGTGCCCGGCATGCACACGAGGGCGAGCTCGGCTTTGCGCTTTGCATTCTTGCGAGATCGCGTCTTTGCGAAGAGAGGATGCACCCTCGTCCTTGCCACCTTGCTCAGACACCCTGTTGCGCAGCTCATCTCCGCCTGGGAATACGTGCACGGCAGACCCAACGGCCGTGCAATCTCCCTCGTAGATTTTGCCGTGCAGCACCGAGGCTCACTTCTCGGCATATGGCCGACTCTGTTTCGACATTTCGACGAGACGTTCGGCGCGCATCAATATGGCCAGACCGCAATGACGAGTGCCTTGGGAACCTACGCAGCGCAGACAGCTAGTGCAGCGAACCCATCCGCGACTCTTAATCCATTGCTCGATCTGTTCGATGTTGTGGGCCACGTCGAACGCTTTGACGAGAGCCTCTTGCTGCTGATTGATGCAGCCGGACTGCAGGAGCCGCGCGCTTGCGCCCGGCCGATCAACGTGCAGTCGTGCGATGGCGCCTGCCCGACGAATGCGAGCAGGTGGGACGCCGTGGCTGCGGCTGTGCCAAAGCTGGTCGAGTGGTACGCGTCGCGGCTTACCAGCTTTGATGCCAGTATCGCGGACAAGGGCGACCGATTCCGAGCGCGCGTGCGGCTGCTCTCGGAGCTGCGGTCAGCGGAGAACTAGCATAGCGCCGTGGATTCGTGAGTCGGCCTTGGCGGCGTGTCGTCGCTGTGGCGGCCAGGCGGCTGGAGAACAGAGGACCACAGCCTCATCCGCACCGCCGACGGCGCTGTCCATGTTTGGGGCGAGGGTGCTCACGGCTGCCTAGGCCATGGAGAGGACCTGTCGACGAACTAGCTGCTCTTGGGGAGGCCCCCGCAACCCCCGGCCACACCACCCCCCAGATCCCACACGCCACACAATAATCAATATCAACGTAATATCTAATCTAATATGACGTGAAAGGCGGTTAGCATTAGGCGAGGGGTCGCTCGAGAGCAAGTCGACGGGACAAACGGTGTGTGGCGTGTGTGCCGGGCGCGCGCGGGTGCCCCGCACCGCCGCCCCCCTAGTAAGAGCCGTGCTAGCTGCTACTCTTACCGGCCGGTAGGCTTTCACTTACACACCACATGAATGTCAATGAATGTCACACACTGCCGCTGCGCGGATACGGCAGCATGAGCGAAACTCGCGCGTAGTGCGGCTATAAACGGATACCTTCTCGTCATTCCCCTCAACTCGACGCCACCGTGGCGACGGCTCCAGGGGCAGTGTAGGAGGAGAGCGTGAGGCGAGCGGCGCCGGCGCGACGGCCTCTCCGCCCCTCCTCTCCTCGCGGCTCGCCCCTGCCGCAGCTGCCGCGCACAACGGAGGCCGGCGGGGCGAATTGTGGCGCCGAGCCGGCGCCGCGCCCCGCCCGCTGCCCGAGCGGCCCTGCGCCGCCGCACTGCGCCTCAGTGGCCGATGAGGCCGGTGTGGCGGTAGGTTGACGAGTAGCGCATCACCTGCAGACACGTGCCAGGCCTCGTGAACTTTGTGTGCCGAGGTGCGGCCAAGGAGCGGCCGGGGTGCGGCCGAGGTGCGGCCTGACCTCCGCCCATGTGCCGCCCAAGACTGTCCGACGTGCCGCCAACGTCGCACCCCACAACTCAGGCTCGACACGCCTCCTTTCTGAAACCATGCTCCTTCCTGTAACTCTAGTTGCCCCCAGATCTCTAACTAAACACACAGCGGATCGCCCTCCCCTCCCGCACCCTGCCACCCAC